ACAGACACGGCGGCGTAAGGTCTTTTACGGCCTTATTTGCGGAGACGTAAAAATCGCGAAAATCAATACGGAACTTCTAACATTAAATATTCAGGCTATTGACTGGGCGGGGCCGAGAGCCAGACACTCTTTCGTACCTGAGAGTTCCTCGGCTTCTTCCATGGGAAAAACTATTCTTCCGCGATCGCGATACGCTCGCCGCGCGCCACACGAATCGAGAAACGCAGCTGCTTCCAGATGTTTCGCGGCTTCTCCGGCCTTTCCACGATACTTTGATCCTGCTACCAGTCTGCGTCCTACCACGTCCTTCTTCTAGCAAATGTTCGGAAATTTTATTAAACCGTCGATAATATCTATCGATGCCATCTGACACGGAGTGTCTTTTACAAAATTATCACCAGAATCTTTTTTTAGGTGGCGTTCAATTAATGTGTAACCATCGACAAAATTTTGCGGGTCATAAATTACGAGTTAGGTACCAGCATCGGTAAATTGGTTCTCTCTACTGTTCTCTAAACGAGATAAAGGAATTTCCAAACAATGGCAAGGATGACAATTCCCTAACGATTACCAAGTAGAAAGAGTATTTGACTGAAATCGCGAATCCGCGATTTTTATCTAATCAAATAGAGGGTCTTTGAAAGCGTAAAAATTCTGAAAACTTTGGAGCTGAATTAACACGAGCACGCTAGGTTTATATTTTTAATAATACGAGTTGAACAATTGGGCGAAATCCTGGCGTAAGGTTACCGTGAACGTTCAACGTGATACAGGTTTCCCTGTATATTATCATTACGGTCGATTACTTATTCAACGATAGCTGATTAGGAAAATTATTTTCTTCTTTCCAGGTTGTCTTAAAATAAAATCCAATCTTTTGTAGTTTTTGAAATTTGCGCATTTTATTCTTTGCTTTCTAATCTTTAAAATTTCTAGCTTTCTAGCTGTTCGGGAAGTGAGTGAAATTTCGCTTACAAAATTCCACCCAGACAGACAGACAAACAAACGAACTGAGAAGTAGGCGGAAAAAAACTTGTCGGTTTTTTTTAAATTGTATCGTATTATCGTCAAAAATGAGCATGTTTCCAAAGTTAAGCTTTCTAGCTGTTCGCGAGGTGAGTGAAATTTCACTCAGATAGACAAACAAACGAACAAACCGAAAAGTATTATATCGTATATCGTGTTGGCATTAAAAATGAACATGTTTCCAAAGTTAAGCTTTCTAGTTGGTCGGTAAGTGGGTGAAATTTCGCTTTAAAAAATTCCACTCGAACAAACAGGCGGAAAAGTAAGCTAAATAAAAACCATTAAAAAATGTTGTCAATTTTTTTAAATTATGTTGTCCTGTCATTGGAAATGAAAGCGTGTTCGAAATTTCAGCTTTCTAGCTGGTCGGCAAAATGAGTGAAATCCTGCTTATCAAATTTCACTGAGGACAGACAAACAAACAAACAAAGAAACAGGAAAGTAAGCTGAATAAGAAGCATTAAAAAACGAAAAATTCTTCCCTTGCAATCTTCAAGTTAACTGATTACCTTACTTCACGCAAAGGACTACGAGATTGTGAAAGACAGTGTGTAATTTGTAAATTCACCGATATTAGTCGGCAAACGATGGTGCAAGGGAGACCAGATTTCTACATCCTTTGGTACGAAGTAATTAATTGTTTACGAACGCGAGCATGGAACGTAGATATTTTTGGTACCGATTTTCATTTCGATACATACCAGCGCAAAATGCCTTTTTTCCCCCTCCGAGAATAATAGGATATTTGATGCTCGTTATGATTAAAAACGATTTGCGCGTGTGGAGTGATCAATGTTGCAATGACAATTTTCAAAGAGCGGGCCAGGATATTCGAGGTTCCTTTTGACGGAAAATTGTTTGATGTATGAAACGATTAACGCTTTAACTGAGCAATTATTTCCAGGGAAAAGCGCAATATCCGACGTTCTTTCTGTAACCGGCAATCAAATTCGACGTTTGCAATTGGTTGAATTGTTTCGGGCACGTTGTGAAAAATCGGACAATTTGATACGCGGAATTGTCAGACAACGTTTTCGATAATACACGTCGCTCTAACCATAATGCGACTCATAGTTGGCAAACATTTGTTTCCGCGAACAAAAACGAAAAGCCAAACAACAAAGAAATGAAGAAAAGGGGAGGAGGATATTCATGATAATTCTCTTTCTCTCTCTCTCTCTCTCTCTCGTTCTGTCTCTCCCTCGCACCTGTATAGCCCCGGTTAAAGGGTTAAGGAATAAATAATTCGCAACCAAAACGAAACGGGGGCTTTTGCGATGCAACAATACACCGTGGTACGAATTAATACGTATTCAGTTGCCTCTTTTTACTTGCATGTAAAATTCTATTGTTATTTCGCAGAATAATTTTCAAGGAATTACGCGAACGCTCTGGTATACGGGAGTCGATAGAAACCATGCTCGAGCGACAAAGAGAAAGCGAAAAGAGGCGAACGAAAAAAAAGGAAGCAGTAAAAAAAAAGAAAACATAGGGGGACACGATTTACGGTGGGTTTACGTTTCGCGAAATAAAATGCAAATTCGAAGGGAAAATCGTACGTACGCTCGTGTCCCGTTCGGTTGACAATTAGAACTCGTGATCGAGTAAAGAACAGATTGGAAATAATTCCTTTCGTTTAAAATATTCATTTTAACCTTTGTTACAGTTTTAATACGCCCCTTTTATAACGCAACATTTTATCGGCAAAAAGGCAAATGTAAACTTGCAGCGAAATAGTTTCCGCCGATTCTAAGGAATCTTTCGCGTAACTCGTCGTGATTTCTCGAACGTGGAATTTCGAAAGAATCTTCGCGTCTAGTCCGAGGGAAATTGCAAGGATAATCGGAACGAAATGTATTGTTCCTGTAACGCGTGACTTGTTGCATCCAGGCACGAATCGAAAAAGCATCGATTTCTTGCGAGAGCTCCGGAGAAAGTAATTTTTCCCGGCGCTGGCGGATGATCCGCGATGAAACGCGCTAAATGCGTTTGACAGGTCTGAAAGTATCGATGATACGTGACAAATCTAGGCTAAGCCAGGCTGATTTGCATCGTCGAATGGAAAACGATATATACCGGGTTTAATCTCGGACAACAAACAAGTTAATGAACGGCAGCGAGGGTAATAAATTTTCCGCAGATTGAAAACAATTTATATTCTACATAATGGCGATATCGATATCTTTTAAACTAAGCACTGCGTTGTGCGTTCGTTACGCGAAAAGCTGGATGGCGATCTTTTAAATTGAAACTGGCAAATCAATTTTTCCAGCGACACATCGCTTACAAGATTATATCTTCTATATTTCGCGATAACCAGATTAACGTACGAGAAAAGGAAAGAGCGACGCGACGCGAGAAAATTACGATAGAACCGGTAGACAGAATACTGACGGAGGATGTGTCGTTTATAAACGACGTGTCAACAAATAAAATTACGATTGACAGAAATACCGGTTGTTCAACGGTGTTAAATACGTAGGCGTGCGAAGCTGTTCTTGAATCGCTTTAAGCCCGCTCCGCACTCGTCCAATCGATCTTAAGCTGATTCTTGGCTGTGTTTCCGTGTCTAAACCGATCCGTGACCTAGATCCAAGCGCGTTTCAGTTCTCAAGGCTTTCGATATCGATTCGATTCAATTTAACACGGTTCCCTTTCGATTCGGTTTCGTCTATTAAGATTGCTCCAGTTCGCTACAGCTCGGTTCACCTGTCTCCGTTTCCACTTCAATTAGGAGAGATCAACACCAACGTGTCGACCGAAACGTGTCCTGTTCTGTGTTCCGTACGATCGAGTTCAGTCTCGAAAGATCCTGCCTCGTATCGTACGTTTTGATTTTAATTCTAATTTTATGTTAAACAGAGAGGCTTAAACCTTCGGAGAACAGATAATAAAACTACGTGCACAACGATGTATCGCGCCATGGTAGATATTACGCGACGAGCACGTGTGCAACTTGAGCGTGAAACACGTGTTTCCTTCTCTTTTTCCTTTTTTTTTTTTTTTTTCCTTTCCACGGATCCGAGTGGAAAGCGTTAAGTTCAGGCAAGTGTGTAACAAGCTTTAGCGCTAAGAAAAAAATCACGGCGGTCAGAGAACGAGAGAGTAGCTTGTTCGTCGAGTGCTTCATTGACTTTCATGACAGATCTGCGCATAATAGCTGGCTTGGGCGTCCAAGCGGAAATACATATTTTATCGGCACTGTTCGGAAGCGCCGCTTAAGAATTCGATCATCTCCGTGATCTGTTCATTGGCATCGTCATCGTTCCTACGTATGCGTATCCGCGTATGTCTTACGTTCACTCCCATTCATAAGTACAGATACCGGAACACCTGCTGCTTTCATACGAAACGGTACAATTGATCCAGAGTATCGAAGAAGCGATTATTTTCTACCAAATTTGTAACAATACAGTAAATTATAATAATTATATAATTTTGTATCGAATTAATCTCAGCAGATTTTTAGTTTAAATGCCGTTAGAAAAATCCGACACGCGTTAAACCTCTCGAACGAATTAAATTTCCTAGTCATTTCTAATGTTAATTACACTTTCTGTCGTAATACTTATGATACTTTCATGGTACTTACGAACGAGGATATACGTGTGTGCTTTTATACACGTACGTTACGTGTGCGTACCTCTGTGTATGCCAGCGTATGTCGGTGTGCACGCGGAATAACAGCTCACGTGCGGCGTGCCAATTTTCGGGGTAATTAATGAAGAGCGACGCGGCGTCGCGTGCCCTTATCCGGACCTATGAATTAACTTTCGCTGTGGTCCTCAATTTTCTTCGTTCTTCATATTCTCCTGTCCATTGAACTCGAATATTTGTCAAGGACGCGTTTGTCGGTCACGTTCCCCGCGCGTAACCGGTTTGCCTCGTTTTAATGGTCGATTTGCAAGCGTCGAAACTTTCGACGGATCGTTTAGTCCCTTCATTAACGCGCCCTTTCGCTTTTGTTTTCGCAGGTAGTTCTATCAGCGTGCAGCACGTACTTCGACACGATCCTGTCTCAGTACGAAGAGAAGGATCCCATTGTCATAATGCGGGACGTGAAATTCTCAGACATCAAAGTGCTCGTCGAGTTCATGTACAAGGGAGAGATTAACATTGATCACGTAAGTACTATAAAGCATTTCGTCATCTAAATATATCTTTTAATATGTAATCGTATCGATCGGATAAATGGCCACGAATTGGCCCACTGCGATTCGAGTTAGCCCTCTTTTCGTTACCAACGATCATTCCCTGCCGTCCAATTAATAGAACGAGAGAAGCTTTTTTTAATATTTTTTACTTCGTCGTTACGAGATGTTTCAGTTGATACGATACCGAGCATCGCTATATTTCGACTAATTTCAAGAATCGACGTTGAGTAGCATTGATCGATTTGTAAAAATACACCTGTTCCGGTGTATGACCGCTGCTATGGATCAAGCGTGGCCAAATATCCGGACGCTTATCGTACACGGGAAGAGAGTTGGACGAAGTCGTTTGTGAAACGTTGATCGGGCTTTTTCAACGAGCGGCGCTGCTCCAAATGAAAACTGATTAAAGAAATAAAGGCCGCGGAACGTAGCTCTTTCGCCTCTCTTCAGACTCGATTGACGACTTATTTACATCGTGGACATTTACGAGGACACTTGTATGCCGCTGACGGAGGGAAAAATGTCGCGGGGAACGGCGCGGGAATGCGGCTGGCCTCAATTTATTAATAATTGAAGACTTCTGGCTCTTCGAGGTTCGAGAATGCCGCGCTTCAAAGCGACCCGAACTTCCCATTAATCCCTGCGAGCAAAAATCCTCCCGAAGATGCAATTTGTTTTGCCGAGCGCGGTCAATCGTTTCTTCTCGTGCTCGTCTTCTTCTCTCCGCGTGGTAATCGAACAAAAGAGAAGAAGAACCACTTTGTCATCGGTGAAAACCGTCGCGATGAAAATCCAATCGATAGTCCTATTACACCGCCGCCTAATTAACGATCGACCAGGTTTTTCGTCTTCTACGCTGATCCTATTTTAATCTCGGTGTATGTTCGTGTGCAAGTGCGTTGGTTGTTTGAACTATCGCTTGACAAGAAACGGGAAACACGCGCGGTGGAAAACGGCATTGCTCTGCATCGTTTACTCGCTACTCGTAGGGAAACGATAAACCGGCGTCGACCAATGGACACCGGTCTGTTAACACGTTCGCTCCTACCGACGCGCGTGTCTTACGTCATTTTAATTATCCGCAACTTAATTACTAAACTCGCGCTAATTGAGCATTGACGCAACTATCTGATTTCTGTATTTATTCAATTATTTTAATTTAATGAAAATATTCAAGGAGATAAGAAACAAGACAGTAGATAACGAGATTGAGAAAAGGAGAATGAGATTGTATATTTTCACAAACGCAATTAAGGAAGCACTATGTGGACAAAAATTGATCTCACACGCTCATTCGATGTTTCCAAAAAATCCTTCTACCTAAATGACGGCTCTTCCATTCCACCTTCAAACTTGAGAAATTTTCTAACGATAAAAAAATACGCTCGGGTCGTAAATAATCCTAACAACGCACTTACGAGCGATGGTATCTGTTTCTCTCGGTGTAAGAGGTCGGACAAAGAATCCGAAAGAAAAAGCAAGCGTAGAAAATTTGACCCAATTCCTCGATAAATTCCATTCGAAATCCCAACCTTATCGCGGGACCTTAATTTCTCTCTACTATTTCAATTGCTCGTCGACATCGTCCCTAAGAAAAGCAAGGTACCATCGAATACCGAAGAAACACGGAGGTGTACCGTTTCACGTGTCTCGTGCTCGTGCGAGGTGAAACGCGTGTAGCTGGATAAGAATCGGATCCAGGTTGGAAAGAGGATCCCGACAACAGCAACGGGTTCTCGTTCTTCCGTGTTTCTAGTCGTGATCAGGCAGTTGGGTTCGCGAGAGCTTTCTCCGGCTTGGCCACGTTTTGCCTGCAAAAATCCGGCTCTGGTGAAAATCTGTGCACGGCGTGTGGAACGCGGGGCGCATCGAAGTTGTTCGATCGTGGTCGGTAAATGAGCTTTGGCTGTCGTCGATCGGATTTGCGCGAGGTCGAGGCCGTGCGCGTGTTTTTTTCAGCGCCAGGCAGGCTGAAACGAAAGCGGGAATGGCGCCTATGGTGGTGACGGTCGTTTCTGAAATACACATTATCCGCTGCCGGAGACGCTGACCCACATAAGCATTTTTCCAATTCCGTTCGTGGCTGATAGAAAGCCGCGGAGAACCGTTTGTAGAAAGTTCTCATATTATTTAGCATTCTCTCGGTCGCTCTGTTATTATCGCAGCGAAAATTGGCAAATAATAATCGGACCTATTCCAGCGAGGCGTCCAGTTGGCCCGATACAAAACGTTATATCGGATTTTTCCTTCTCTGTCTCGTAGCCGCGGCGATCCGATTCATTATTCGCTGCCTCGAATCCCGGCTTTCGATCGAACAGATTCGGCTGCTACGAGTATGCCCCGGACAGGGCAAATTGAAGCGGCCAGGATTAATGGAATTACTAATTTTTACTTGTGCCGCGCGATCGCTTTTTCCTACGGCTTTTCGAGAACGAACGGAGCAGAGGTAATTAGATTTACTTAGCTCTGCAGCTGGACGAATTTCTTACCGCGTTCGACTCCTCTCGTATACCTATATCTGTGTACTGTAAAGGGTGTTCCAGAAAATCGAGTGGGAAATTTCAGAATTCGTCCAGAAGCCAGATCGATCGATTCCGTTAATTAAACAACAAAGATAAAACGATGATGTGGCAAACGCTATTGTTTTATTTTTCCGAGCCTGCTGAAACTGAATTTCGTGTTCATTTTACGAAATTGAAAAAATCGACTAGAATTTTGGAAGTCGATCGGTTTGCATTTCGCATCACCCTAAAGTTCGACAATTTTCTGACACACCCTGTAGACGTGCTACCCTGTAGACTTGGACGAAGAAACTTCCGGGAACATTCCACGCGAGAACAAGAAAATACGTGGAAGCTCGTGCCAAAAACGCTGAAACGACGCGCTTCGTACATTATACCATTTATGCTCGTTTCCTGGAATCACCGCGGAAATATTGAAAGCGGATCGGTTAAAAATATTGCTGCTGGTAACTCTTGCCAGGAATGGTTAAACCACTCAGGCTTAACGTCGGCCGAAACGAGAGGGAACTCTACTTACCTTGATTAGTCGGAGAATATCGAGGATATCTACCATGTACCCTTCTTCTTACGCGGATTTCGTGTCTCTTTATTTTACTATACATACAAGGCATTTCAGAAAATTGGTGCGAAACTCCTGAAGCACGGATCGCTCTTAGAAACAAGCGTGTTTGATACCAACTCTCTGAATATATCTTTAAACAAGGTTCGAAATTTTACCAACTCGATCGAAATCGCGGACGAAAACTCTGACTGACAACCTCTGAAAGCATTAAACGACAAAGAGCAGCTTTCCTCTTCGACAAAGAAAGCTCTGCATCTTTTGAAGATGGGATTCGTTCCTGTTTGCTGGATTGATTAAAATCGCGATGCGTCGATGTTTCAGACGAGATTGTCGTCCCTGCTGAAAACCGCGGAGGATTTGCATATCAAGGGCCTGGCCGAGGTGAGCTGGCGTAGCGATTCCACGCAAAATGATCTAGGAAACAGCGGTCACAGTCCCGGCGCGGCGACTCCAGGTGTCGAGACGGTCCTCAGGGAAGGTGACGCCGACGAACCACCACCTCCGAAACAAAGACGCAGAGGGCGTCCACCTCTGGACGACCCACCCTCGGCTCACGACGTTTTCACACCGAAAATCACATGTATCACCGGAAATGTACGTCAAGTATGGTTCATTTTAGCGTTCCATTTATCGTAATATGTCCATGAAACGAAGAGACTGCTAGAACAAGGAGGCAAAGCTCTACTTTCCAATAATTCGAATAAACCGACAGAAATCAATGTAAAGTCAGTCAAAATCAAATTACGGACTTTTTCTAACGTTCTACAATTTCGCGATCGATTAATATTCAAATATGAATACGAGAGTTACATTTTCTTTTTTTTTTTTTTATCTTCTGCTAAATATAATTGAAATATTGGAGCTGAATCCTTGTTACTGCAAACCAGTATCTTCGCACGCTGTTGATTGAACGATCCTAAACGTTCTTCGTCATTCCCTTTCTTTTTTTATATTTATACCGACTCAGATATGCCTTTCGTTCTTCCAAAAATAATTGGAAGATAATTTCATCACATCTTATGAATTTTGTAACAGATATTTTATGCTTTGAAATGGATAGCCATTTATCGTACAATTAAGCATCGACCGATGATGATCGTTTGACTCGGCGGTTAAGAATTGATTAACAACGATATAAAGAAACGATTAGCATATTGAACGTAGAATCCAAATACAGAGAGAAACTAATATTTCGTAAAATATCGTAAAAAGATTGAGGCGTATCGGAATTAATCTCTCCATCACATCGATCGCAATCGACAGTTACATAGCGGTTATCTCTTTGACGCGTGTATTTCAAACGTTCTCGATTTCCCAGGAGGAAATGATGAGCGAGGGCGGTGACCACGAGAGTTGGGACGACGAAATGATGATGAATGAAAATAACGAAACGCCACTGCCGGTGGTAAGGATAGCTTCTTCATTTCTTTTTTCTTTTTCATTACATACTTGATATACGATCGCTTTGGTAACGCCCTACGATGATATTTTAACAAGCTGTGTGTATCGTCGTGCTTTGCAGCTATCGTACATGTCGAAGGATGACAACGCATCCGACCAGGAAAAGAAAGGTACGTGACTTGGTCGATCGAACAAAAGTAGTCGCGATTAGGCGTTACTCCGGAGGATGATACTACACAGACACACGTTCTATGCAGAGGTGCGCGTCCTGTTCGGTAGGCGCGAAGAATTTAACGTGGTTTGATTTTGCTGCAGCGCCTACCACTCCCTCGAATTCCAACGCCACGAACCTATCGATCCCCGAGCAATTCCGAGACGTCGTGAAGATGAACGATTACCTGACGACGGGACGCCGCCAAGAGTTCTGGGAGGAGCCGTTCACGCGACGCGTTATGGATGCCATTAAGAGCAAAGAACTGGAAATGAAGACTGCTGCCGAGATACTTGGCGTGTCTTACGGAACCCTCTACGGCAGATATCGCGACAGTTATGGTTGCCTTAAACATCCGTATAGGTAATGGAGAACAGACTTGACGGTTTTTGATTGCCTTTGTCGCGACCGGTTACTGCTTTCTTCGTGCTTTATGACCGTATCGCGTTTATGCATCGTATTTAAAGCGAGAGAGCGCGCGCGCGCGAGCACGCTCGTAACCTCGTAACTCTTTACCTTTCGAGAGAGTTTTCATTTCGAATCGTGAAAATCGCGAACACGAAGGTACGAGGAAAGAAAACAGAAATTTTCCTGGGAATAAATTTGAGACGCGTGCTAGGTGAAATCGTGCATTAACCTGCTTTCGTCGGCTTCATTTTTACGCTGCTGTGTTCGAAGCAGACTTTTTCTTCCTCCTCGTCTTCTCCCTTTTTCTTTCAATTACTTTAACAGGCAAGAATTTAAGCTTGAAATAATTACGATAATAAAAATGTGTTACAGAGTAAGGGACTTTTGGTCAGAACCTGGGCCAGCGGAAGTGTTAGCCAAACTACGAAGGAAAGAGATCACGTTGTTCCGTGCAGCCGAGTTCCTTAACGTGACCGTCCATACGTTGGCAACCTATTTGTCAACGCTACAGGGTCCAGACAGGATTTCGCTGGCCGGTGACTTGAGCGTTGCGTCTGGTGCCATCGACGGCAACAACGAGACTCCGGAGAACAACGAGTCGGTGAACGATATCCTGCAGAAGATCAACGCGAACGCGGCCACGACAGCGACACCGACAACCTCGACTCCCATCAAGAGAGAGGGAGGCGGCTACATCGAGGTACCAACGCCCGTCCCAAAGCCAGCGACCTCGGTGCTCGAAAACAACCCGGATATCACGATCGTGAAAACAGAAGGCATGCCCCGTAAACGGGAGTACGCGAAAGTTTCGAACACGGAGAACAACAACGCGAAACTGATGAGTGGCGGCGCTGTTAGCGAGGTGACGCAACAACAGCAACAACAACAACAGCAAAAGATCACCGATCCGTTGTCGTTGAACAACGACAACAGCAAACCCTAACTATTCAGGCCTTATCTGCAACCGGCGAATCCCCGTGCACCGAGCGCTAACTACAGATCCGAGCTGTGCCCTCGCAGATTCTATTCGAACGTGTTTACTCGCTTCCTCACGAATTTTCATTTGAAGTAGAAGAAAATGAAGATGAAGAAGAAGGTGAAACGCGTCGCGCTGTCCGTGTTAATAATTATTTGTCGTCGTGACGTCGTCGTCGCAGCCTTGGCCCGTTCGTTGACGCTCCACGCACGCCAGCCCACGCCAGCAAAAATGTAGCTTTAGACAATCTCGCGTGTACGATCGTCGTCGTGGCATAGGTTGGAGTTGCGTCGACAGCAGGCGAAACTGTCGCGAGTAAACAGGAAACAAAAAAGAAAGAAAACGTTATTAGCGAGAGTTATATCGAAGGATATATTGAATGCAGAGTCGACTTATTTTCGACGAAGGAGCTTGCGAAGCGAAGGGCTTGTTGTGTTCGGTGGTCCTGCCTTTGGATCCGGTTCGATTCTATCCCGTTGCACGGGAGCAACGCCTGCCGCATATATTTTCCGAGTAAAACGAACAGAGTGCGTCGAAACTAGAGAACGATTCCTTCTTAAGAGTTAGTACCTAGCGATACGGTTCTTCGTTACTTCAAAATTGGTTCGCTTTAAATCCAAAGTCAGTAGCGATTATCGAGATCGTGTTTGGCCTTCGTGACAAGGAACAAACAAAATGAGAAACAGAAAAACTAGGACTAAAAAGAAAGGGAAAAACACACAAAAAAGAAAGAATGAAGAAAAGAGATGAATGAAAGAAAGAAAGAAAGAAAGAAAGAAACGTGTAATAAAGTTCAATCGAAGTTCCTTTTGAATAACGATGTAGGGTGTATCGCGAAAAGAATGCCTAGACTATTTTCTGCCGCATGTGTCTGTATGGTAGCACGTAAAGAGCGACAATATTATTCACCCGTAGACCCGTCAGTATAGCGATCCCAGAGTGACAGTTCTTCGAGAATAGATGTTTCTCGTGCGATCGTCGTTTTAAACAAACATTGCACGAGCGTATATTTCAGCGGTATATTGAAAATACACTTTTGCAACGGGAGCCTTAAATCGTTCGAACGTTAGAAATGTTTTACAGATGCGATTCGCCGAGATTATAATTTGTAGCATATATCATTTTTTGTCGAAGCATATCGGCCAATGACGAATTTCGCACTTGTATTTTCTGTTTCGAACGGTTTGATTTGTACATTTCAAGGCATGCCTTTTCAAGGACGATCTTCTGCTAAAGGAATCCTCGTTAAATATATAGAACGTTAGAAAAATCGGGATTCGATCCGTTAAGGAGGAAACGGTACAATTCTATTTTCCTTGTTTCTTTCGCTCACTTTCTGTCTCTCCCTCTCCCTCTCTCTTTCTCTCTCTTTCTCTCTCTCTCTCTCTCTCTTTCTCTCTTTCTCTCTCTCTGACTCCCTTTCTCACTTTGTATTTACGACAGAATATACAATTTATCGCATCATATATATATATATATGATATTTTTTTAGAAACGTTTAAGTATATTATCGTTTTCCTCCTTTTTTGTTTCCTTTTTTAAATTTTTTATTTTCTTTTTTTTTATGTATATATAAATTAAGTTGTTGACGTCTTAAATGGCTTTTATATAAGCAATGATTGCTGATCGATATCAAATATCACTTAAAAAGGAAATACACGTATAACGTCCATTGTAAATATCGGTGCAATAGTAAGACCTGAAATTAATATTATTTGCCACAAAGTGTGCGTTTAATCGCTATTTTAAAGGGAAGAAAAAGCAAAGCAGAAATGGGAAAACAAAGAAGGGACATGCTGTTTTTAGCGTCGTGCAATCGCATTCAAATCCGTATTGCTTTGCAAAAGCGGGGATGAAAGAAACGAATGGAAATAAGAACGGGGAAGATAAAAGAAAGAAAAAAGAAAAAGGTATATCGATGCGACTATTTTGGGCCGATCGATCGATGATGCCTTGTTGGTGCGCACCTACTTGCGAGAAACTTGCGAAAAGCTTGCGTTTAAACTCGTAACAAAAACAAATTGTTCGTTGGCGTCGTGTCTACGCGTAACTAGACGCGAAAAAGAGCGAAAAAAAACAAAGTTGCATGTGCGCACGATTTAAACTGTACTACATGAGACGTTTCGACTGGGAAAAGATATGAGTATTCCTGTCCGCTGAAGGCGACAAAAAACAAACAAACAAACAAACAAAAACACTAAGTAAGAAGTAATAGTATAGTAGAGGTATTCTCGATATGATATTTTTCGACGATATAAGACTTAGTTGTGTTGAGAGGACTTATGCAGAGAGGGTACTTGTAAAGTAATCCAGAGGAAAAAATGGTGTAATTTGTGGAAAAAAAAAGCCGGACGCACAGGAAGAACACACAGTGTCATAGAGGAGGGTTAGCGACCAGGAGAGAATTGAAACGAAAAAAAAAAAAAACTGGTACTGTGAAATGTGTACATACAGAAGCGTAGGTTAAATAGAGCGATCGAATGCGTGGAGACGTGAGCACGCAAAGAATATTATATATATATATCTCTTTTTCTCTAGAGGAAATTCTAAAATCGACTGACTATTAATGATAAAGATGATGTTTAAACGATTAACTGCTCCATGAGCATCGGAGAAATAGCGTTATACGTTCGACGAGGATCACTAGTATTTTCCGAAATGAAAACAAGTTGTTTTACGTTTTCTGTTTTTTTTTTCTCTTTTTCTTTTTTGTTTTTAGTAAATATATATATATATATTGTATACATATATATATATATATACATATATTGTATTGTTTAACTCTGTTAGAATCAAGAACAGAGGATAATCTTTCTGATTACTTTACGAGTGCTCTAAACCGACCATTTTACCACGTATAAGTATCAATTTTATACGATAACTTTGCACCGTTCGATATTTTTATTCGTAAACTATGGGACACCGTCGATGATATAGATCTGTTCATCCTCCCATTCATTAATTTAACTCTCCTCGAATTTCATATATCTTTCTAAATCTCTTTTCCAATCCTCTCTATCTCTTTCTTCCTCATCCCCTCCCTTACTCTGTCGTTCATCATTATTATTATTACTATTATTATTATTATTATTATTATTATTATTATTATTATTATTATTATTATTATTATTATTATTATTATTATCATCGTCATCATCATCGTCATCATCATCGTCATCATCATCTTCATCATCATCATCATTATTATTAATATTATTATTAATGTTATTATTAATATTATTATTAATATTATTATTAATATTATTATTATTATTATTATTATTATTGTTACTATTTCCTTTTTTAAGTAAAGTAAGACTAAGACATACCAAATGAGAAATGTAAGGACAAGTTTTGTTAGGTTAGTACTATCGCATATCAAGAACGCAAGAATATATGCGCCTGAAGCACTTTGTATTGCCTATGCACGTCCCGGTGAAACATAGCTGGGGTGCACAAGACCATTTTTACTCTAGCAAGAGTATACGACTAGAAGTATTAATATTTAATATTAATAAACAACGCGGATTGTCCAGAATGGATGGTCATGTTTTTGAGGATCAACATCGAGCCATTTTGAACAAAAAGAAACAAACGAATTTAAAAGGAAGTCAAGAAAGATAAAAAAAAAACTCATCAGACAAAGGAGTTCGATGTTTCTATTTCTTTTTTCTTTTTGTTTGTTTAATTTTCTCAACCGATCGTTGATTTTTTTGTTTCGGTTTCATTTTTGTTTTCTATCGGCCAATTGATCCTTGGAAAAATTACCTACTCTTTTTACCGTCCATACGGACACCAAGTTTAACGTTAGTCTTTTTTTTTTCTTTTTTCTTTTTCGCAACGTCTCTTTTCTCTTTTATTCTAATCGAGATGCGATCATGTTCTTTTTAAAAACGAATCTTCTTCGCGAGAGTACAAATTACAATGGGACTTTTGTTAACCCTGTTGGTGCCATGAATGCTTTTGGAAAAAAGGAAACGTTTCACGCGTTTTGTTCTGCCCGTCTTTGCATCGCGTCTCTTATCCTTCGTTTCTAGGCACCAAGAGGGTTAACGATTATCTTCTTACGATTATTATTAGACGAAATCGTCGATTCGTTTAATATATATATATATATATATATTTTCTTTATTATCTTCTTTCGTTTAACGAAGAGATCGCGCGTATGCCAAATCGTACGTCTCAAAGACTGATGGCCATTCATTTGGAGGTTCTTGTAATGGTAATCTCACGCCGCGCGACCTTGTAAACCGTCGACAAGATCGCCGGGGTACATCGACATTGTATGAGAAGACAGGACAAGACTAGCCTATTATTGGCGAACGATGCCCGATCGCCGTGCGCATCGTACAATGAGACTAAAAAAATTGATATCATAATTATGTGTCGTTTGATATAAACGAGTAATGAATATAGTATGTATCATCGTTTTATACACAACCTAATTATATCTACGTACACTATGTACATTCCTAGTATACACTATGTCACTGTCACACACATTTGCATTACACGCGCATTAACAAAAAGAAAAAAAAACGCATGGACCTATTGTATACGTGTACGCGCGTGTGCATCCGCACGCACAAAGAGCGTGTACGCGTGCGTATGCACGGACGCGCACGCAGAGACACAATACACATATGAATATATTTATAATAATTATATAGCTATTCCAAAACGGACCACCGCGACATCGACGTACGAAGATCATTAAAAAAAAAAAAAAAAATACAAATACAAACGAGATAGAAGAAATGAAAGGAAAATAAACAAAAAAGAAAAAAAAAGAAAGAAAACCGGGGGAAAAGAAGTATATGAGGAACTCTTAATCGACGATATTTAAATGCGTATTAAAATTAACGATCGTCGGTTAAAATTAACCAGCGTTACGTTTCGTTGTTAAGAGAACAGCATCGCCGTTATCAGTGTCTCATGTATAACAACGCAATCGAGTCTCTGTCAATTTTACAAATACACACGAAAATTCCCGAGTGTATACGTGTATACAAGGAGAATAACGAAGAAGTAAAAAAAAAAAAAAATGAAAAACAAAATGTAATAAAACACGCATGTATAGCAAAAGAGGTTGTTACACTTAAGCACAATAGAGAAGACAAAGTATATGAGTATAGTTTTACACGAAGGCTTCATCGCCCGTTTAGTTTTATACCTGAGACACGAAGAAAAGGCTGAAACGGTTAGACGATAAAAACAGTTCGAAACCCCTCTGTTCTGCGTTCTCGTTCTTTCTCTCTCTGCTGTCCGTAAGAATCGAAAAGTAAAAACAGAAAAAAAAAGATACAAAACGAAACGAAATCAGATTTTTGTTTTTCTCTTTTACCGATGGCGAATTATCGTCATATGCCCGACCATCGCGTACACATACAACACGCGCGCGTTACGCGCATGCGCATTCGTAACGCATCCGTTTCGTACAGAAAACTTCCTCTTCCACTGCCCATTTGTCTCCTTTTTCTGTTTTCTCTTTCCTTATCAAAGTTTACATCAATTTGGTTTAATTTAATTAGTACTATGTATACACAGAAATATTTTGAAAATCATCGGAGAATGCGATGACGGATACCACCGATCGATCGATGGAGCGGCATCGCATTCTCCTTTCCACGAAGTATCATTTCTCATTAGCCAAAGTTTAGAATTTGCGTTCGTTATCTGTAATTCTATTTCTTGCGCGAACCACAGCTTGCTTTATTCCTTCCTTTTTCTCTCCCTGTTCCTTTATCGTTCTACCTATCTCCTTTCCTCTTTTTTACATTCATACACATGGACACAGGACATATATGTTTGACATATTATTATATTTACTATTATTTTAATTATAATTTCCCAGGAGTATATATTATCTTTAATAATCGTGGTAATTTTTAGACTAGAAAAACATTATATTAGCGGATAGAGATTAAAGTATACATAAAAAATAAAGTAAATATATATATATAAATATATATATTATATATATATATATATTGATAAAAAATATTGAGATCGTAATTAGAAATTGGGTCGAGTGCATACAATGCTGAAAGACGATAATGGTATTTACGCGTAAGGATGTTAAAAGGTCGAGCAGATGGATTAAAAGCGGTCTTGGCTAATGTTGGCCAAGCTGCTCGCAGAGAATATTCAATGATTGAACAAAAAAAAGTAAATGTAAATGTTTGTAAACAAATTATGAAACATTATTTGTTCAGTGCCTACATATTTACACAGTAACAATAAAGATGAAGATTAGCGAACATTCTTTTGTCTCTTTTTTCACCAAGAAGAATGATAACGATTTCGATCCAGATCGATCGGAACCGCAAGTTGCCGCAAAAGCGATCCGTCAAACTATAACGAACCGATCGTTAAAAACTACCGCAATGCGAACGATCGTTTTCTAACAGTATTTTTATATAACTGATATGCATCTTGACATTAAAAATAAATGAGTGAAAAACTGTGTCTTCTTTCGTAGCCTGGAATATAACGTCTGCAGATTTAAACTACAATCTAAAGTTATTGTCATCGCGCGGAGAGATCAAAGATATTCAGATAATACAAACATATTCTGATACGGCATTCGTTTCATCTCGATTCGTTCTTTTGTCTAAGAATTAAATTTGAAACACTTTCGTTACCAATATCTAATAAAAGCTTAACAAAGCTGTTTCAAAACCCAGAAAATGGTAATTTCAATATTTTTGGTACCAACAGAATGTACTAATTTACGCTTTACGATTTACATTTACAAATTTTTAAGCAATTTATCAATTTTAAGGTCATCTTATATTATTCGATCACTAATTCAAGTATTTTTTCATTGGAAACGCTCAAAATCGATCACTGTATGTTTTATTAGTATCGTATTACGCACTTACCTACATATATTTATGAATACAGGCCCAAGTGTAGAGGCACCATCCCCACCATCGGGCCCTTCGGTAGCGATCGTTGGTCACAGTGACATAGTATGACACCCTAGCTCGTCAGTTGAATTTCGAAACTCGACTGTGCTGGACCGGGACGTTTCGTTCGCTGTTTTCCATAGTCTTTACATTTTCAGCGTTTTCTCGCGAAAAGTCGTGCACTACCCGTCTTTCTCATTTTCACCTTCTCTTCGTTTATATTCACAATGCATATCTTGTGCCCGCAAACACTTCCGTTGCCAGAGGTATCGAACATGTTTTATCCGTTCAACACTAGTCTCGAAGAGGAAATCAAGAGATTGTTTTCTAATTTCACAATCGAAACTCCAAACTCTTCACTTCCAGATGGTAAGTTGATTTAGCATTGATTATTTTCAAGGATATTTCTATAATTTCGCACGATTTTGAAGATACGGAATTTGCTGGAAGAATCTTTAAGTAATACTAACGTCGAAGATCGATCGAAGCAAGACAGAATGCTTTATCGATTTTATATCGATCTTTAGAGCCGGTGAGATA